TGGAGAGCCTTTGTCCACAGCACCTTTCCTATCTTCAGGATCAGCAGCAGCTTAGGTACCTATATACGATACCTTGTTCACATCCAGATCTTCAGTTTTTCAATACAGCTGGAATAGCTTCAAATAAAAAACAGTAACAAAGCCCAGACCCCTGAAGTGTCAAAATTCCCTCACTCCTTTTTCTGTAGACTCTGAGAGCAATATAGGTTGAAAGGGACAGACCTCTGGAGGTGTCCCGTTCAATTCCATCCCTCCAAGGATTTTCCCAATTCATCCTTGTACTGAGGGTGAAATAAAAGAACTGGCTTATGATTAATGAATCTCAAAGTGTAGTTACAAGCCTAAATTTAAACACAGCCTGTCCCGGTGAGTACTTTACTAGGTATTACAAGCAATTTGTTCTCCAAAATAGTAACAAGAAGTAAAGATCTGTGAAGACCCACATTAGTCCCACAAAGGTCTACAAAAATAAAAGCAGCTCAAAAGCTTTTGGTGGTGGGCATGCAGTTGTGAACACAGCATATAGTATGGTCGTTAACTTGTGTTAATGATTGCTTTGTCTATATTTCCAAAACCAACAACTTATATTAAGCACACTTAACTACAGCGTTGAAATGAGAACTCACTGACAAACTTCAGTATGTGAACAACCTTCAATACGTACACAAAGACATGTTTTAACCAAACCTTCAGCCCAAAGGAATTCTTTAAGGCCTGAATTGGTCTTACTGGTGGAATAGTTAACACATCTTGTGTTTTAATATATTAAAACTTATGATTCTCTGGAGACTAGCATAGCTAAGCTGTATTCATAGTAAACTGACACACTTCAACAAGTTTAAAATAAACAGTGTGGTACGTTAAAAAAAGTCATGATTAGTCTTTCCTGATGGGATTTTCCATCATCAGCAGCAACTTTAGGAAGTAAAACAGGAAGTAGCTTGATGTTTTTGTGGCAACAGTTCAAACTTTTTTTTTTAGTTAAGAAAACCCCAAAACCCAGCATTGTTTGTCTACACACCTTTCAACTATTTTTTGCAAAGTTTTTACCACATTGTTCCTGTTCTCTCATACAAAGACTTGCAATACAAAAATAAAGCATAATCATAATTATGTCAAATTTTAAGTGTTAAAAGTATGAAAACAATGAAATGTAATGAAAAACAATACAGTGAAAACTTTTAGATTCAGTCAAATGAAATAATTTATAATGTACAGATACTTATTATTACAAAATTACATAGTCCTTTCAATTTATGTTCCCACATATATTTAATTTACACCATTTAAAGTCAAATATGTTCTCTCTCACAGTGATAAATTATACATTAGCTCATCATGCTATTGTCTACAAAAAGTTGAGAGAATAATCAGCTGCATGTCACGGATGTCTATTTGTCAGTTTGTCTCTTTAGAACACGTATAAAGGCATCTCTTGGTACTTCCACATTGCCGATTTTTCTCATCAACTTCTTCCCTTCTGCCTGCCTCTTTAAAAGCTTCATTCTTCTTGTAATGTCTCCACCATACTATGAAAAGACAAAGTATTCTGGAAAGCTTAAATGCAACTACAGTACGTTTCAGCATCACTGAACTCAAGGGCTTAAAAACAGTCAGAAAGGCTGGTTATGTTATGACAAAAGATTATTTTACACTCCAAATAGTTATCCCCAAAGGCCACTAGTTAAAAAAAACAAGGGAGGAAGTATGCATGTTCCTTGAGGGTTAAAGCCAGTTACCTAAATATGTACATTCACATAAGCATGGCTGACATTAAACACAACCTATAGGATATCCAAATTCCCTTGGAACAGTGGCAGAATGCCAGTTCAGGGACACTGGCGCATCCTGGCTAGCACTAGGTGCTTATGTCCAGGGAAGTTAACCGAACCCTTATATGATATTGAAGAAACCCCATCCCACATATGTACCTAGCAGAATTATTCTGTAATGGCTGTGAGAAAGGGACACTGGTTTAATTTTTTCCCAAAACATTCGCTTCAGAAAGCTAGAGGCATCACATTTTTCCTATAGCCTTGTCAGTCTTGTTGATAGTCGACTTCTACGTATTTAAGGTCTTGCCATGATGTATTACTGAAAACCCAAGCAAAAGTCTAATCACAATCAGTCTCTAAAGCAGCACTTTTACAGTTTCTTAAATCAACGGGAAAAACAATGTAAGAAATATGTGAAGTTACACATGTGTGTGTATGCACACTCACATTTACTGTATGTCTACAACTATTAGAAAACGGTGGAGAGAGGAGTGAACACAGAGTGAACTCAGAGTGTGTCTAAGTGTGTAATTTTGAAAAAGCCATTACTCTTTCTGATCCACTCTTACTGCAAGCTGCAACTAGAGGTTACGCGAGTTGAATTTTTAAGAGCTTAAAAGTATCTGTTAGTATTCCCTTGACACTTAGGAACACAAACAGAACGTGTCTTTGGTGGGTTTCTAGGAAAAGATAGGCCTATCACATTAGCAAGACTCTTGGGCTTACACACATCAGAAACATCAAAAAATGAAAAAAAATACCTACACATTTTGCCACAACATTTTTTCTGTAAGCTTTCAGCCTGTAAAGTAAAATAATGTATATACTTAAACACATTAGAACATCTCCTTTATATGAAGCTAAATACTGAGCTGTCAAAATACTAAGCGTTTTTCTACCAGCTTTGTAAGATGCATTGGAATCATGACATTTTCCCATTTTGCTATACAGAATACAGTTCTAAACAGAAGATTTAATTCACATTTCTCAATTCTAGAAATATTCCTTAGGCTGTGTAACACGTACATAAAAATTACAATCTTGCCCTTTTATCTATGATTTCTGCTATGATTCACCATGTTACACATGTGTATACAGGTATGTACAGCACCTCTGCTTGGATCCCTGCCTTTAATTCCTTTACCACTATTTAAATCCTATTTAAACAGCAACAGCAAAAACGTGACAGGAAACACACATCAAGGAAACCGTTTGCTCTAAAAGAAGTGAATGCTGCTAAGAAAGAGCTGTGTGTTCAGCTTGCAACGTTTCCTTTGGAATAGCACAGTTCAGGGGTTTTTTTGCTGATTCTCCCAGAGGTTAAACTATTCCACAACTAGCTCATTTTTTTTTCAGTAGTAAGAAACTTTTTCCACTGCCAAAGAGGAAGTGGACGCATGGATGTTTCAAGTTATACTCTATGCACTAAGTGCAATGCTGACTACAAGCAATTCAAAATAAAAATACATTTTTTTCCAATTAAATTTATACAAAGTCATAGGAACAGCTCAAATTTTGGTTGGTGGGGGTTTTTTTTCCCCTCCCCAAGAGGTCCAGTAGCATATACAAGAAAAAGACAAGAAAATTTTTTTACAGTAAAATCCAAGCACTGTAATGTATTAAACTATTTGGGTAAGACATTAAAAGGCCATATTTTAAGTAGCTTAAAATAAGAAAAAGAAAAAAAAAGAAGGGAAATGGAAGGGCTTCACTTACGTTTCTCTTGCAATGATCTTCTTGCCAATAGCAGCCTGGATGGCTATTTCAAACAACTGTCGAGGTATAGCATCTTTTAAACGTTCACACAGGAATTTACCAGTAGCGTATGCCTTATCACTGAAAAAGAAAGTCACCAGTGTTTTCAGAATAGAGTAATACAACTCCCCAAAAATATCCATAGACCAAATTGTTGGATAAAAGGATTTTAGTAAAGGTTTTCCTTTTTTTTCTTTTTCTTTTTGTTTGTTTTGGGGTTTGTTTTTTTTTTTTAAACTCGAAAGATAAGCTGATCAGGTCGTAATTTCACATCTAATGAGTGGTCTCTGTATGTCACCTGTTTCATACAAACAGGTGATAAGATTGTATTAACAGAAGGCCTTCAAATAAATTTAAAATATTTATTATAAACACCCTGATTATCACACTGAAGCCATTTTGAATACTGCCACGGCTTCAAATGCAATTTTAAACTACAAGATCAAGGAGGATTTTCATTGATTGTAGGCCCCAAAGGTCAAAATATCTACATATTACAGAAATGTTTTTAAAACATCTGTTTTTCAATAATAATAAGAGAAAAACACACCATAACCCCAAACCATTTTAATCTACTCTTGTCATCTGCTAATAAAAATTACCCAACTACAATCAGCATCTGCGTATGCTTTGTATTTTGGAAAGGGAACATGACAAAAGGTCTAAAGACCTACTAAACAGATACTTTCATAAGTCATTGAAAACAAACAGGTCTCCTCTCTAAAAACATCCTTATTTAGCAAACATTTTTTAGCAACGTACAGCTGAAAATAGTTTTACGTGTTTTCATGTAATAATAATGCAACTCCTTCTACCTGTATAAAGCAAACAGTCTAAGCATGAAGTACTTCTGAAGTTAAGGAATTCCAAGGATTTCAGGATTCCAGTTATGTCAAAAATATGAAAATATACAGATTTTTTAACAACCACAAGTCAGCATTTTAAGGACAAAAGAAAAGTTGATCTCAGAGTTACTGGAAAGGGCTGCTTTTGCAGAAGGTACAGAAGGGAGCCTTATAAAGACTTTCTGAGAAGAGAGCAAGGGGAGAGGCTGGGAACAGGAAGGCATTATTCTCACCAGCAAACCAGTAATTCTCGAGAAACTTACGGAAACTGATTCATTTTAGCAAAAAATTTCTGAGGTAGTTACATCCAGTAAATATTTACATTCTCCTGGTACTCTGGCTGGAGACAAGATAACAACAAATTTCTATAGAACAGGAATTATCAGGAGCATAAAAATATTGGGGTTTTGTTTTTTCAGTTTTTCAGTAGTAAATAATAAGTGCCATAAACTATTCATCTGGCATCTCCTAGACTGGTCCTATAGAACAAATTATCAGGAGCATAAAAATATTGGGGTTTTGTTTTTTCAGTAGTAAATAATAAGTGCCATAAACTATTCATCTGGCATCTCCTAGACTGGTCTGTATTTGAATTTTTCCAGCCCCTTAAGAGATTGGCATTTTGCATTTCCTTCTCCTCTCTGCCCTATATTACCACAAAAATATTATATCTAGCACTTAAATGCCTCTTTTTCAGATCAGCTCCAAAAGTGGTGATGTGGTGAAATCCTCAATGCTGTTTTCATACATATATATGTATTACTAATATACGACAAATATGTTTTAATCTTATATTAATAGGAAGTCTTATTTCTTTGGAATAGAGAATCCAGTCAACCTACTTGTGTATGATCGTTGCCAGTTCTTCAACCGGATTTCCGTTTAGAAGAATATCCATTTTGATCAGGTCTGCTGCCTGATATCCTGCATCTTCATAATCAAAACTAAATGAAAGCAGTTTAAAAGTTACTGATGATTTTTTAAAAATTACATTCTGCATTCTTTGTTCCATAAACTTTAGGTTTTAGACACATTTCTTAATCAAACACTCAAACTTTTTATTAAGAGCACAGTTTTTAATAGTCTCTCAGTACTTCTCCCTTATGCAAGGCTAGACTAGAAATTTACTGCAGATAAATCTCATCTCCAAGGCAGCAGAAGACATCATCCTGTCTTCCAGCTATTAAGCAAGGTAAAACAATCAAAAAAATAGACATTCTTACTGCAATCTCTTAAAAAGTTTATTCAAACACTTCTATCAGCTGGAGGTTCCTTAAAGCTCCAGGCAACAGCACCATTCCACATGGCTTCTGAACAATAAACATCCTTGATGTGACACAAATCAAACACTAAAACTGGATTTTCTTTTCATCCTCTCATTTACAGACTTTTCACATGACCTCTATTATCATTCTCTCTGACAACAAAGTTTTCCTCTTCTTTTCCAAACCATAGATGCAGAGATATATGGGGTTTTATATATATCTCTATATATCTTGTATGTAAGTGTAAGCGTGGAGAATGCCAATACCACTAATCTGGTCAGATCTGAAATATCAGAACAGAGGGGAAAAAAAAAATCCTTTGAGAGTATTTGAAAGTAATTCTGTCTTAATTGGCCTGGATAAACCACAGTTGTGTGAATAGATTCATATAACACAAGTATGACTATTGAGAGCATTAAATACACAAGCAACATTAGGGAGTCAATTAGGAAATAAAATCAAGAAAGAAAACAATGCAACACTGTTTGCAATCACACCTGAATCAAAGGAAACCCAGCATAATTCTGCTAATGAGATAGCTTCTTGATTGGTTTTTATCTAGTTGAAGAGCTAGATCCTGAGAGAAAATTCAAAATCTCCATCCCCTGGTTTCTTCTACCTGTCCTTCTTGCCTCCCCCCTTCCCCTTTTGCTTATATTTCTACTTCAAATATACACAAACGTGGGTAAAACACACCTTACCTTACCTTTACAAGGCATATTTAAGAAACACAAACCCAAACCAAATTCAATCCTTCAGTAAAATTCATTTTTATGCTTATAAAATGAATAATGTAATTAGGTATACCAGTTTCTGTCAAAATGTAATGCATCTTACTAACATATCTACATACCAGGTTTGTAAGAGCTATTGAGTCTCCTGTGGCATAAGCCCATCTGCCATGAAACATTTTCCCTTCCATTAAACTCATAGAGGCTCTTCACCAACAGCTGAGCATTGTTCTAGCCTCTAAATTTATAGAATCCACCCACAGCAGAACATTTTGTCTCAAAATATAGATGATTTACTTTATTCCCATAATAAAGTATGTAACTAAAGTTAAATGTTGTTTGTTTTAAATATAGTTTGTTGATTGTTTTTACTAGCTTTAAAAAAAATCAGTATTTGGTTATTTTCTCCTTTCTACCAAGAGATAATACAGTAAGAAGTATATTTTCAGTGATTCCTTTGATAGAAAATGCCCATTGTCACTTCAGATAAGTAAGAACCATCTAGATCTTGCTCATCTAGATGAGCAAGTGCCGATCTACAGGTCACACTTGAAAAATACATGCATCACCAGAGAAAATCATTATTAGGTAGTGATGCACTTTTAATGTTTTTCAGATTTATTTCCATCCATTTCCACAGTGAATCTAATTCATTCAAGGTGAAGTAAGACCCTGTTTGCAGCACATCATAAAAGAATATTCTTCACTTGTGCCCTTTCATGTCTTAGTCTCGGACCTTTTTTTGTTCACCCCTCATGGTCCAGGGTGGGAGGAGAGGAAACAGAGGACATAGTTACCTTGCATAACCAGAAGACAGAGACTTAAGAGCATCATAAAAATCCACCACAATTTCATTCAGTGGAAAGAGGTATTTTAGCATAACCCTGTGTTCATCAATGTACAACATATCCTTCTGGACTGCCCTACGATCCTAGACAAATAAAAATTGTTTCAGTTCCCCTTGACAAATAAATACAAAGTAAATTAAAATAAACAGCTATCCAGTCTCCCGTACTTGAAGCCCCAAAGTAACTTTCTTACTGATAGTTTGCTAAAGTCCCAGAACAAACTGGAGCACCACAATAAACAAAATGGTTGTAACTTAACTGGACAAATTATTCAAGTCTATCCTCTCTAAAGCTGAATTTCTGAAATCCTTAACAGCTTCTGCCTTTTAAATGTATAATCATTTGGCCACAAAATCTCACTTAAATGAGATTTTCACATGCATTGGAGTACTATGCAGTCACCTTCTTTTCTGCCAGAATGGTGTTCTTATAGTTATTTTAGGAATTCTTTTTAATAGATCTTATACTTCACTGTACTGACATAGAAGTACAGTACTCTTTTGTATTATGCATTTTGAAATGTTAAAAGCCAAGAAAAATATTGTGAAGAAATTATATGAAGACAATATACATGGCAGTTAAAATATTTTTCGTTAAAACTATATCAAATACACTCGGGGAAGTGTGTTTGGCCATCACTATCATAAGTGTACTCCAGTGAAGTACTGAAAACATATGAAGCCTTGTTATGGTTTAACAGAAATTGTATTTCCATGAATATATGTCTAAAAACCAATAGCTCTTATTCCCTTGCTGCAGATTCCATTCTTTCAGGAAAAGAGAACTAGCTATGAATCTGTCTAGTACAGGATGCTTGACCAGGTACTTATTGTCACTGAGCTTCAGCACTAACTTTTAGTATAAGGATTTTGTAGTTCAGAAGTCATTTTACATAGAAAAAGGTTAAAATATTTTGTTTCAAAAATATTAAATAGTTACCATCAAAGATACTCTTCAACAGTATCTAGTATCTTACTATCTAGTATCTTCACTTTAAGTATGATATGAAGAGCTTAAAAATGCAAATAACAAAACTAAAACTATATACCAACCTGACACAAAGCAATTATTTTCCCAATATAGTCATGAGGTGTTACAATAGTACCAAGAACAGTTGGCTCCAAGTATTCAGATACTGAAAGTTTATCAGGAAACTGAGCAGGGTTGATAATAGTAATCTCTGTTTTACCATACTCCTGAAAACAAAGAAACAAAACAGATACTGTAATTTTACAAATAAATAGACTGAATAGCAAAGGAGACAAATATAGGATTGAAAAATAATGCTAAAAAATGTTTCAGTTGCTTGGAACCACTTGTGAGTTATGCAACCCTAATTCATACCAAGCACAATTTTGAAAGAGATTTCAACAGCACATACAGAAATCCCTGATCAACATATCTTTAAATATTATTATATAGAAAGATTATAGGAGTTACTTTTCACTAGGAAAACTTTTTTTTTTTTTAAAGAATTTTATCCAGTGAATTTTAAATGGAAGAGGTGCTTAGAACTAGGACTACAACCCAGTTGTCCACAGAAATCCAAACACCTTTCTGTCCACCTTTCCATTTTCTCTCTTGCCTGTAGAACAAGGATCTTCCTTCTTAATCCATCCTGATCCTATAAGGTATAGGCACAGCTTCAACAAAAGACCTGCTCTAAGTATTCTGGAGTTTGGCGATGGCGACATTCTTCTTTAAGTAGAACTTTGGGTTCAGGCTCCCTTACAGGCTGAAGTGGGCTTAGAAATGAAGTTTTTGATTCCTGTGCAAGTGCTTTCATGACCTATTTTTCTCTAGTCCAGCTTCCTGATAGGGGCTGGAGTTAACTTCTGAGGTAAGGATAAAAGGAGTCATGTTTCTTACCATGTACATATAACTCCGCTACACACCAAAGTGAGCGATTACATCACTTTCCACTGACAAGGCACTGTTCTTGCAAAATGACCCAACTTCCAGCACTGTTTGAAAAGTGTCCCACATCAGCAATCCAGAATCACTTATGCACCAAAGGTGTCAACTACTTAATTCATAGCTGCTACACTGCCTAAGCAAGAAACCAAAATAACTGGGCAGAAAAGGGGTCTATACCTTACACGTTGCAAGTACAGCTGTTTGGAATGTACAGATTTTCTGTAGTGTTTAGAGGTACTTGTTGGATAATAAGGATCCAAGCTATTTACAGCCTCCTCCGTCAGCAGGTGCTCATGACTCCAACTCTCTCTCTACACTCACAGTAATTTTCCTTGTACCCAGTTCAACTAAATTTGCACATGCCTGTTTCACCGCGATCAAAAACTCACTTGTCTTCACCAGCCCCGGCCAGTGTACAGTAGCATTACAAGCTGCTCCTAAAAACGTTCATGTTTTCTGACTGCTAAAGCCTGGGAGATTACTTCACGCACTTTAAATTCAGTCCAGTCAGCATGCACTTAAAAGAATACAAAAAGTAACGTGACCTTTATTCCCATTTTCAAGGACAGGTGTAAGACACAAAAAGAGTGTGCTTGAAGTGGAAGGGCAAAGGAACGCTAGCATTCTTTAAAAAAAGTTTTAAGTTACATACTGGTGTTTCTAATGTTTACCATAAAATAAAGTACTAGTCTACATTAAAAAAAAGTGTAGATGTTTATTATAGGAGGCTTTTAAGTTGCTATTTACATAAAGCTGGAATATTTTTGACATACCTTTATCAACTTTGCTGAGGAAAGAATAGCTTTATAAGGAACCGTAGGTGCAGTTAAAATAACAGACATATTATACTCCTGCTCCAAACGTTGATTAAAAACTTCCATATGTAAAAGACCAAGGAAACCCAACCTGGGGAAAAAAAAAAAAAATACCCTGTCGGTACAAGTATTTGTGTATCTCTTGAAATTTAACAGTGGGCTTTTTTTCCCCTCCAGCATGTTCCCGCTGCAAGTCTAGCAATACCAGGCATAGCAAACAATCTCCAAAAGACCAAATGATCTTACAGTTGAATAGTATGCGAACAAAAACTATCAATCACAACAAATTGCATACTCTGCGCAAATACAGAACGTAAGAAAATCAAATCCTTTTCATCTTTACCTACCATTTATCCAAATTAAGACTCCTAGTCTTGAATTAATTTTAATTCAAACTTCAGTTGACTTAAAACCTGCACTCTCAATTTATGAACAGTTCCAAAAATGAAAGCAGTACAAAAGCCTCACCTCCAGCCAGCTCCTAAGGCAAGGCTACTGTCACGATGAACAGTTACACTGGAATCATTCAACGTCAGCCTTTCCAAAGCGCTTCTGAGATTATTATATTCAGTTTGATCTACAGGATACATCCCTGTCAAAACATATTAGGTAGAAGTGATGTGATAGAGAGCTTTATCTACTGTATACTTCGCTTTCAAATATGCCTTTTACAGTGAACACAGTAATGAAATCAGAAATAGCTTACCTTCCATTCCAATTTTCTTAAAATGTGAAAAACAACACAAGGAATTCTTTTTTTCCCAAAAAATCAGTTAAAATGCAATAAAACTTTAGATTACCTCAAAGAAACAGGACTTAACATTCAAACCATAATGGTAGGGACACTGTGCTCATCTAATCCTTCACAGCTGTGGCAGATGCACAATTGAGTATAGCCACTGTTTTGCAGGGCTGCAGTGTAAACATATAGCTTAAGCATAAACAAATAAGCAGACAAACTTCACTGAGATGTTCCTAGTGTGAATGGCAAAAAAAAAATTTGCCATATCAAAGTTGTGAATGTTTTTATATTTTTTTGAAATTAATAAAAAGCAGCTGTCTGTATAGTTACTGCCAGAAATAGGTTCTACTGTACCACTTTTCACATCACCACGTGTTCAGAAAATGTAGATTGCTCTACACCAAGAAGCAACATAAATGCACAAAAGAAAAATGTACAGAATTACACTTTTCTACGTTCACTGACAGACAGCATAATATCCATGAGACTGTTCGAGTGAGTTTTACACATTCCACCAAAAGTCAGGGAAGTGATTTACAGAATTTATTTCCTTCTAAAGCCATCTTCCATAGCATTTGTAGTAGTTACTGAAGCTGATGGCAATAGCTCAACAGAACTATTCAAGCTTAGAAAGTCAAATATTTCACAGAATCATTCTGAATATTAGCCTTGGTTAATATTATCATATTTAACAAAAATTAAACAGTTGCTAATTTTTAAAAGAACAGGAGATTTCACAATAATTATGGAAACCTGGTTATCAAGATGATGAATTCCAGTAAATGGACTTCATTTTTTAAAATCTCAACACTTCTTTTCCAGCTATCAAGAATTTACTGGCATTTGAAGCGGTAGTTGTAGCTAAAAATACGTTAGACTTGTGTTCATCTAAAACCAGTCTGCAACCATTATGAATCTTGTCTGTTGAGTCACAGGGAAAATTACACAAAGCTATACAAATTATGTGCCTCTATAGCTTCACTTTGCTTAAATTCTAGTCCTCACAACTCTTAATATACATGTATATTATTTTAGAAGCTCTAATAGCTCTCTTACTTTTGTTACTGGAAAAAGTAATTCCACTTTATATCAGTTTACTCCTCACCTGCAAAAACCATTGGCTTCGCTGACTTAAAGCCAGGCAAAGGCTCCACTGGCTGTTTATACAAAAACAGCGTGTCTCCTATTTGGGCTTCTGTTACTTCTTTCATTCCAGCGATCAGGTAGCCCACCTGTCCAGCATATCTAAATAAAATTGGCATTATATGGACACGCTTCTTGGCATTATCAGTATTTCTGCTATTATCCCCACTTGCCTTAGCCCAGCCACAAATACAGATAAAACACCCTCCTAAAAGCCCATACAAATTGTTTCTCCTCTGAGCTGTGAACCTTATCTTAAGAGACAAACTATCTGTTGACTCAAGTAGCTCTATTTCTGTTAAACAGTACATTTATAGTTCTGGATTTTAAATTCTGTGCTACTCCCATATTGAAAGCTGGAGCTAGAAGGAACTTCTTAAGAATCTAAGAATCTAAGAAACAGAACCAGAACAGTTCCCAGCTGCCACCACAGCAAGTTTCACATACCAAGTGGCAGAAACAACAAAAGACAAATGCCTTCCATCAGCACATAATGCTGTTTCAGAGAAAAACCCATGGTAGATAAAGAGAAAAACGCAGTGACTGGTTTTGGCTGGGATGGAGTGAACTTTCTTCGTAGCAGCCCCATATAGTGCTGTGCTTTGGATTTGTGAATAAAATGGTGTTGAGAGCACACCAGTGTTTTAGCTATTGCTGAACAGTGCTTGCACAGCATGAAGGCTTTATTTGTTCCTCACTTTGTTCCCTCCAGCAAATACGCTAGGGCAAGAGGTTGTGAGGTGACACAGCCAGGACAGCAGACCCAAAATGACCAAAGGGATATTCCATGCCAGAGAACGTTATGCTCGGCAATGAAAAAAAAAAAAAAAAAAAAAAAAAAAACACAAGAAAAAACACCCAAACAAACCCCAAGGAGCATAGTCTTTCCAAGGTGGCTGTTGCTTGTACACTAGCTGGCCTGCTAGTGGTCGGTCTGCCTGTGGGAGGTGGCGAGTAACTGATTGTTCTTGCATCACTTACCCCCGCCCCTTCCTTTTTCTTGATTTAACTGTCTTTATCTTGACCCATGATTCTCTCCTCACTTTTCCTCTTCCAATTCTCTCCCAGTGGGTTGGGGTAGTGAGCAAGCAGCTGGTTGGGTGCCTAGCTGCTGACTGGGTTCAACCCACCACACACAGTAACACAGTCTCACTGAGAATCTCCCAAGAAAGTCATCAACACATACTTGGATGCAAACTGATAAAGCTTCTCCACTAATTCTAAGTACCTGATTTTCTTCCCACTGCTGCCATGAGGAGCCAGTTTCTGGAAGCTGTTGCATTCATGGATTTTAAGTTTTCCACCCTCAAAATATGCTGCAGCAATAACTAAGATGAAGCCCCATTCCCTTCCACTCTCAAACAAGGTAGTTCCTAGAAATAAATTGGACAGCTGAGTAAGAATATCAAACACTAGTCTTAAAAAAAAACAGCTGTCCAGATGTTCCATGTACTATAGATGACAGAATGGCTTCCTCCCCCTACCAGTGCCCGAAAAGCAGTCCCAAAAGCTTCTGCCGCAACATGCCCAAAATTAAAAACACTGGCATTCAGCATTAAACTACACATAACAACCATAAAAAAACCAGCACCAAAGAACAAGAACAAAAAACACGGATAGCTCCCAGCCTTTACCACTCAAAGCAAAAATGAAACAGAAATCCAGGATTTTGTATCTTATACCAATTTATGATTTGTTCCATTGAAAGAAATTTTTACTTACAGCTTATGCGTTGGCTGCTCATTTGGAGTCAGAATTCCAACTTCATTAACTTCATATCTCTTCTTTGTGTGCGCGGACACAATTTTATGCCCTTTCTGAATCTCCCCACCAAAGAGCGCAACGTTAGCTATGATGCCTCGGTAGTGGTCAAATGTGGAATCAAATACTAAGGCTTTCAATGGATCAGTAGTACTACAGTGGGGTCTGCGACAAAAAAATTAGAACAATATATTAAGCAGTGTGTTTTTCATTCAGTATCAAATGAACAAGCACCCCCACCCCAAAAACTTCCCAATTAAACTACTGAGTAATTTTCAGTAAACAAACACACACAGCATTCAAGTGTTTCACTGTTATGCAGTAAATCTTTACGTTTTTTCTCCCATGTGCATTAGCAGTACAAATAGAACAAAACCAAATGCATATTCGTCACACCCATTTCACAACAGGTGACACTGATGCTTAAAATATCATATTATAGGAAAAACAAATTCAACTGTTACATTCCAACAGTTGAGTTTTTTTTTAAAAATAAAAAGTCCACCAATATTTTGGTTTTGCCATCCTTCATGGAAACCTGATACCAGATTTTCATTGTGGTTTCTTTTAACTATAATTATTAACTAATACGAGGACTAAAATTATTAGCTAATAGTAGGAAAAAAGATTGAAAAACAATATGCTGATTGAAACTGAACTGTAATTCAGCAGCTTTGTCATCAAGTTCCTAGAAAAAAGTCTATTTTAAAGGCTGGGTTCAGGATATGAAACTCTAAATACAGCAGATTTCAATTACCTTTATCATTTTAAGAATGCGATGTTCAGGAGTAAGAGCACGCATAGATCCTCAAACACTAAGTTTCATGGAACCTATATAAGCATTCATAGATGTATCACCTTTAGTGGCTCACCTCTCATCTTTCATTTCATACCAAATTAATTTTCCTCTCCCACTTCTTAAGAATAAAGAAGTCTTCTGTGCTGACATTCACACATTCATTTTTAAAAAGGCATCTCAAATCTGAAGTGTCAGTTTTTCTGATTTGCATTTCGAAGATGACTTATCCAGCTCAGACACTAGAATTCTCCCACATCTCTTTATAAAGTATTGACTTTAAATCAGATAAATATTAAGTGCAAAACTAGTGCCATTATACTGTATAAATGCAACTCCTGGTTTCCTAGTTAACCTTACAAGGTTTCATAAGTAAATACAGAACTTACGGTGGAATCTTCTCAATGACCTTTTGAAGAACTTTTTCAACATTTGTTCCTTGTTTAGCAGAAATCTAAAACAAGTCCAACAACAATTCTATAAGACGTGTCTTAACATTCATTCAGTATCTATCAAACAGCGCCACATTTACTTAGACAGTTTTGGTGGCCACAGATAACACAGCACATAAAAGCACTCTGAAACACACTTCAGAATGCTATTACTGCAAAATGGTTATTTGATTATAAGTTACTCTCTAACTTTTTTTTTCCTGTCATGAATGACAATTGTTGTTAACAGTAAAAGTGAAAACAATTTATGGACCCACAAAGACAATTAAAAATCTATCTGATGTCATTCATCAAGACATACTAGAAATTTTAACTTTTTTTTTAAAGTACGTTCTTCACTCTTGTTTTGCAGGAGACAATCGTTAAAGACATTTATATATGTCAGACAAAGACGGACAGACAGATTACACCCTGTTGATTTACTATGAGTACACGTCTTTCATTAGCTACAAAGTAGACACAGATATACAATCAGCCATGTTCTAAAACTTCAAGAGGTCTTACCCTTACACATTCATCTATAGGGATATCAAACAGCTTCTCAATTTGTTTTTCAACTCGTTCAGGATCTGCATTCTTCAAGTCAATCTGAAAAACAACAAACTGCTAAATATACAGGCAATCATATCTTCTGCATGATCCAACACTGTAGTTTCCAAATACACAAGTCAAGGAACCATTATGTTTTTATGAGTAAAACACAAAGTTCTTATTATAGGCTAGCTATTTTTCATTATATATTTCTATTTAAGGATACACTTCTTATAAATCTTCTATAGATTTAAACAACTATTTAACATGAGACTAAAACCTTTATTACCTTATTTATGACAGGAATTATTGCAAGCTGTGCTTCAAAAGCAAGATAGAAGTTTGCCACTGTCTGAGCCTGAACACCCTAGAAAATAAGCATTAAAAAGTTTAACATGGAATCTTCTTGTTTTGTTGTTTTGGGTTTTTTTAAGGTGTACTGTGCAATATAAGATTACTTTACTATTCTATCCACTCCTTCATTTGGGGGACTGAAAAATAAGTCATTGATTATATGCACTGCTGAGAAAGAAAACAACATTCCTAAGTATCATTTGTCATAATCTGAATATAAGTAGACAAACTGATGCTAGTGAATGAGATTATAAAGCCTAATGTGATAATCAGACCAGAGAGGGCAGAAGGGGGTGGGAGGAGAAGAAGAAAGAAGTCTCTCCTCTTTGTTTACAACAGTTCAAGTAGAAAATTACTTCTATGGGGATATTCACTATGGATATTAAAGGAAAAAAATAAAAGAAGTATGCAAGACCTAAGTCTTGAAAATTACCTCCACAACTCAGAATAGCAGGAGAAACATTAGCAATTATAATGAAAGAGTTGAGTTTGTGAGCATTCTGACTAAAAGGCAAATACAGGATACCAAATAATCACATAATATTGAAATACCATGTAAGAGATATATACACATTAAATATAAAAACATCGGCACATTTAGAAAACATATTTATTACTGAAGCTTATTTAAAAAGTCCACTTGCCCACCAAGCTACGAAAGTACAAGTGTTCATAATCATTGAAAGGAAAAGAAGTAGCCTTCATTTGACCCTTGCACAATCCAATCATAAAAATGCCACAGAGAAAATTGTAATCAAAATACTTTGTGAGAATGTGTCCACATTTAAAATAATGTTCCCATAATCCTCACATTCTTGTCTATTAACTGATTCCTCAAAATGTTTCTAGCACTGTACAAATAAAAATGCAACCAAGAGCTCTAATTTCACTTCCCTCCTAGTATAGTTTGTCTGTAAATTTATGAGAGTATCACCTTACAAACATTTTACTCCCTCACTCTCCTGCTTCTCCTGAAAGATGAGTCAAGAGCCTATTAATCTAGTGGATACAAAACTTCAGGTTTCCAGAATAAGTTTATTCACATCCAGCGCATAGTGTCCTTCAGCTTTAACATTGCCAGTATTGGTTTGTATTACTGACAAATCAAAAACACAACAGCAATTAGTTATAACTAACGGTGTGATTGGCTGAATAAATCATCAAGCTTCCCAACAAGCAACTGAAGGCATTCAAATGGATATCAGTACAACAGCTAAAAGTTCTCCAGACTGCCATTTGCAAAGTTTATAGTCCCTACAAAGTAGGATCTGATTCTTCACTAATCCTGTGCTTTTATTTCTACATCATGGAACTGCAGTATCTAGCAACACACAAGTATTTGTCTCTACATTTTTTTTAAAAAATTCCCGTTACTACTCTTCTGCAACATAATACTTTTATGGAGATAGACCAGGGGCAAAAACAGTGATGGAAAATTAAAAAAACCTAATCTTCCCTCCAGCTTACTTAAAGAAATTACTGAAATTCTAAGCAGAAAACAAGAACGAAGAACCCCACCTCATTTGCATCCACCACGAGTATCACACCTTGACAGGCAGACAGTGACCGTGATACTTCATAGCTGAAATCTACATGGCCCTGTGGAGAAAATAAATTTCAGGTATTTCTAGAGTACTTTGCAAAGATTTCTATATTATGATGTTTTCGTTTGCATATACCTTCATCCAAAACACAATTCTTAGAAAAAAAATAAATTGAATAAACACAAGAAGCCAGACATCTCCTACTTTTAAAGACATTTAGCTTTGTGTGATTTAAATACTATTTATACTTAACTTACTGGCGTGTCAATGAGATTTAAGAGGTAGTTTACTCCTTCATGACTGTAAAAGAGAGATGCAGATTGTGCTTTAACTGTAATTCCTCTTTCACGTTCCACTTGCAGTTTATCCAGCACTTGTTTATTACGCTCAGTTTTAGCAATTGTTCCTAAGATAAAAAGCCAGTTTTATTAACTCATTTAGTACATTAGCTCTTAAAATAAATAATTCTTGAAAACGCCATTAGCCAGGAAAACATGGGACTTGCAGCTACAAATGAAGCCTTTCTATCAATTAAGCTAAACTTAGATTTCTATTCAGAAATAAAATTATGCTTTAACTCTTAATATTTGTTAAATAAATTTTTACACAAGAAGTTATAGAATACACTTACCTGAATATGCAGGATACAAACATCACATAAGTCTAAATTAGAGATTTAGTAGCAAAGTAGCAAAAATTCCATTCAGTGCTAAATAATTTTTACGTTTAAAGAAATTTCACCTCCTGTCACTGGAGAGCAGCTCCATGGCCCATGGCTCCAACCAGTGCCAATCTCAATTGTGAAAAGAGCATTATCATAGCGCTTGACAGACCTGAATTGAAAACTCCATTCTATTCCAGGCATCAGGTAAAATTGCCCATAGTGACACATAGGAGGTAATAATATAGAATAACTGATCAAAAGCTTCTCTCCCACATCTTGTTTTGCTCTCCCTTTAAATGAGAAAAGCAAGATTCTTCCAAAGAGTATTTCCAAGTAGCTAATTTAAGCTCTGCTCTGAAATTAGTCTCCTCTTGGGACACACAGCAATTGCTTTACAGCTTACCTTAGAGAACCCTCTAAGGCAACCTCTTCCCTCTGTTCCGAGGAAAGCCTGGTTTCAGAGTCACTTATAGATATGAAGACCCCTTAGCACTTCTGTTTCTCACTTTCACTTTAAAGGCGGTTAGTTTTTGTCATCCTCAACAACAACACAGAAATAAAAACACTGAACCCAAGCAGCACTCCCATGAGTACAAAATAAAAACCCCTGAAGATGAAAGTAACACTTCACCAGTACTTGGAGTGAAGGAAAAAGCAATGCTATATAGCAGTCGAGAGTCCATGGAATTTACATTTAATTGCTAGCAGCTATTCTACACACTAAATCTAAATCAACATAGGGCTGTGCATGTCTAAAACTTACTAAGCAGCACTGTATCAGCTTCAGTACCAGTGAGCTTCACCACCATGAAAGAGTTATGGTTTGCTCACAAGAGGACATAGCATTACTTTCATCTAAGTACAAGCAGCTGAAGTTCCTCTCTGTTTCAGTAACACTTTTGAAAACTACTCTGTCCAGGATTCCTAGGCCATCACAGTCCCTTCTGTTCACCCCAAACACTGGCAGTAACCATCATAACCTTGCTGTGTACTGGTGTAACAGATGATTGGTCCAGAATGACAGGAGTAGCACTCTGAACAAGGAAAAACACTCCTTTTTAGTCTCTTTCTAAAATACATACTACTTGAGTGAATTACACACTTCCCTACCCCTATTTGTATGCAGATCTCAACCAAAAAGAAAGTCCATCATATTCACATCTGTAACACTACACAACTGGCAGCTTAAAAGCGCAAGTAACCTGGCACGAGAAGAGCAAAGATATTAGAAATTTTAGTAATAATCAAAGCTACTGAAACTTGTACATCATCTTACATGTCAAGAAACGGCAGTATAAAATGAGAGCACTCACCTGTAATTTCCAACAATCTGTCTGCTAGCGTGCTTTTGCCATGATCTACATGAGCTATAATACTGAAGTTTCTAATGCTTTCAACAGGATACGTCGACATATCTATTTTTTCCTGAAAAACAGAAAATTATTTTCAGAAACCATGGTTACAGCCTCTACGTGCAATATGACCTGGCCTTTAAAAAAGGACTAACTCCAGAAGAGGCATAGGTTGAATAGAGATATAAAAACTTTGTCATCAGTGTTTAACCTGTTGGGATTTCATTTTAGTCATATATACATATTTATTTCTCTGAATAATCAGTAACTCTGCTGGAAAGTGTGGTGAAAGGTACTATGTTTTTATGAATATAGGGAGTTGGAAAACTTAAAACAGTTTCATGTTTGTTAAACTATTAAACTTAAGGATTAATAAAACTGGGTTCAGGCGACCATTAAGGACAGCATTCTTCACAAGGACAATAAGAATACAGCAACATTACCTAGCAGCTCAGGTAGGAGTGACCTTATCGTATGGAGCAAGCAGACTTTGTGGAAAAGGAAGTTAGAGGTAACACTTATCTTGGCTAAATTAAAAAAATGCAGAAACCCAGCCTGACTTCCTTGGTTCGCACACAGCAAGCTCCAACACTAAAAAAGTTTTCTTTGTGTTATTCCTGCTCACTCCAAGTTATATGACATTTTGAAGGTGGCTTCTTTGCTTTTCAAAGCTTTCAGCATCAGGAACCAGGAGACCCCTAATAGCAATCAGTAACACTTTACTGAGAAACTCTGGTCACCCATTTTAGGGATACACAAAACTTCTGCCTCTTACACAGGCTACGCAGGGCAGCTCCGGGGCAGGCAAAGCAAGCAAGCCCGTACTTATTTGCTAGCACCAACACACATCGTTAAGCAGCAGCATCTGCCGTGCCCCTTGCAGCACGCCTCGGCTCGGAACGGCAAGTCCTCCTGCCGCCAAGGGGATCCAAACGCCCCTGCAGCGGGAAACGGCCACTCCAGGGCGACATCGCCTGTCCGGAAAGGCCAACTTCCACGCGCA